TTATTGAAACCTTAAAATCTGTACGCCCATAATATGCCGAAATAAAAAAAAATAAATTAAAAAAAATACTAAGTAAAAACCATTTTTCATGGCATCCCTGAGTAACATAAAGTTGGGTTGGGAGACCCCTAAAAAGTCAGGGACAAAGGGGCCCCTGGAGGAGATCTGGACGCATAATAATTATCGCTCCTAGAAACTGTTTGTTTTTTTTTTTCCCCAGACTATTTCAAACATGGGGTTAAAAGAAGAGTCAGTTTTACAGACCTCAGAATTCGCCAAGTTGCATGACAGATCATCTTCCCAGGAGCCCAGGAAAGATGCTTGGACTTGGCATTATCACCCTGGCCACGCCCAGGCTGGAGGGGGTAGGGAAAGGAGTCACATTCCTTACACTGACTTGAGTGACTGGCCTTTCTCCTTCTCCCTGATCTCTTTTGTTTTCTGGGTAATCAGAAAATGGGTTTTGGAAACTCAGCAGCAACATAAGTAAATAACACACCATCCCTGCCCTTAAGTACTTGTCAATCCAACGTGCGTGGTGGAAAGACATGTGTGTGTATATATAGATGTGGTATTTGTAGTACAAAGATGATGTTATATATTCTAACACATATGTGTTGTAACACAAGCATAAACAATGTGCTGTGAACACAGGGAAGAGATATTAATTCTGCAGGGGAGAGGTGGCAAGAGCTTCCTAGAAAAAATGGTATGCATACAGGGCCTTCGGGTAGAGATATGACTACAACAGGTGAACGCACCAAAAATACATTCCAGCAGGAATAGTGTTTATTTATTCAACAAACATTTGTTGGTTGCTCTGAATAATGCAGGCATTGTGCTGGGTACAAGGACAAAAAGCAAAGAGATGGCCTCATAGGCTGTGCTTAGGAATGTTGACTAGACCATTCCTAATGGAATGTTGACTAGACCACTACTGCAACTTCTGTGTGTGCTTGTGTGTGTGGGGGTGCTGGGTGCTGGAAGGTGACCTCTAGTCAGATCACAGAGGGTCTAGAATGCCATGCTAAGAACACATTTAGGGGAGAGAACATAGGTCTGTCCTCAGATCCTGGCTCTGTTTCTAGTTTTGAGACTTCGAGCAAATGACCTACTCTTTCTGCCCCGAAGTCTTCCCGTTTGGTAAAATGGGCATAACAATACCTGCTAGAACAGTTTTGAGGAGAGTCATAATGTTTGTAAATCATTTAGTATAATGGCTAGCTTTTTGTGGCCACTCAATAATGAGAACTATTGGTGGTTTGGGGAAGGGAAACGACTGAATGGATCTGGATTTTCAAGAGGTGATTATGGAACCCATGACTGGAGGAATGGATGGGGAGGAGGGGTTGGGCAGGGTGAGGGGTACTGACTGAGTATGGGCTTTGGGAGGCCGGCAAGGAGTTTTGGGGCAATAGTCTAAGCAAGAGATGAGGGCCCAAACTAAGGCAGTGGGATAGACTAGATCAAAGCAATACCTATTTAGGTGGCAAAACGAGCTTACTGACGAGCTGAATGTAGGAGGTGAGGGAAAGAGAGCTTCTAGTTTATAGCTATACTACCCTGGATGTGTGACAGAGGAGGAGGGGCCTGGGGAACAGGCAGGGGGATGAGAGAGGGGGAGGAGGAGGGGAGAAAGAGGAAGCTAAACCTCCTAGGCAAACAAGAACAAGTCAATCTTAGAATCACCAAGATTGGCCTTGCACTAGTAACTTCCCCCAAGGAGGCACTGCTGAAGGAATTCTTTCTAACTTGTGTCCTGTGCAGTTGACTGTCTTTCTCCTTCTAAGTCACTCCTCAGAGCAGACTTAGAAATAATCTCCCAGAGTCTCCCAAAGGCCAACTACATTGGACTCAATCCACCCACTCAATCTCCTCCCCTGCAGTTTTCCATGTAACTTACTCAGCGACTTCGGGTCTAATCCTAAATTGTTCTCAAGTACAATTGTCTGTAGTTACAGTACATCTTTGAGGTCACTTCCTGGTGCCCTACCCAGAAATGTCAGGTGGTTTCTCACAGTTGGAAAGACACAGTGACAAAGGGAAAACAAAATTCCTTGCTCTGTCTTCCCTTTCTGAGAAGGTAGCAATTGCTGCCCTTTGGGGTTTGAGATGTGAGGGACAATCCAAGACTTGTCTCTGTTACAGGAAGAGAACCAGGCAACAGCTTGTTCCTGGTGCTGTCAGCGCCACAGATGATCTTTGGACACAGTTGGTACTTCAAACAGGAGCAAAGTAATAGTAAATGGAAGTCTTCTTCAGTTGCAAAAGACTTAGGACAGATTCTTTATGGAGGGGCGGGCGGGGAAGAGAATGCTGGAAGGCCTTAGAGTTGAAAAGGAGTCAAGTGAAGACAACCAAGAAAAGGGAGGCTGTAGACGTCCAGGATAAACTGAGTTGGCATAATGACAGCATAGCATAGTGCCAAGAACTTATGCCCTGGAATTAGACAATTCCAAATTCAATCCAGGTTCTTTACTAATTACACGAGCTCGGCCAAATGATTTTCTCTTTTGTTGGGGGGCTTAATTACTTTGCTGTAAAGGGGTGATAATACCTCCCCTGCAAAGGCTCTTAACCACATTTTTAGGATGGATGGCAGGACATAAAAGATTGGCAGCAAAAGAAGACTTTGCTATCAGAAGATACCATCCTACCTATCTATCTGTCTGTCTAGCTGTCTATGTAACCTATCTGTCTAGATTTCCAACCATCCCTCCATCCATCTATCTCATATTAGTTTCAGTAAAGTTTGAGATTAATATTACTGTACTTGTAGTTTTGGTAGTAGAATTGCCAGTGCTCACGATGGTTATTAGCACATGGTAAGCACTCAGTAGATGTTTATTGGCTGAAGGAGTTACACTGGTCTGTGATCTTTCTATGGAAAACTAATTCCTCCTCCAGTCTTCCTTAAGTATATGTCACCATCATCTGACCAGATATTTAAGTCAAAAGTCTTAATTCCTTGATTTATCGAGGTCCTACTATGGTCTAGGCACCCCGCAGTGCCTTGATAAACTAGACACAATCACAGTTCTCAAGGGTGCTGGAGAAAAAGGAAGGAGACCTTGTCATTTGTTCAACTTTCTGCTCACCTTTAGGGATAGCTCGTACGTGGGACACATTGAGTGTGCTTTGACAACACCTAGACACACATCTAGAAATACTCACACCCATCTAGATTGAGAAAGGGCTATCAATACTGCACAGTGTTTCCCTGGGTATAGGCTGTGTGAATGCCATACTTGGGAATTCTCACGATTTATGAAAACTAGGAAGGAATAATACTTGTTTTGAATCCTACTAGGATTCTCCCACTCCGGTCCGGCCTCTCTGTAGATGAGATCAATGAACCAGAAATAAGAATTGAAAAAGCACATGGAAAAGTGACTCTTGGCTAAATTTTTTGGGAAGCCAACTTGAGGCTGAGTAAGCTGGCTTATTTTCTATAGAGTGTGGGCTGTACTTTATATATATATATCTGTGTCTATATATAAAGAATGGTTTCGAAAAAATTGTGGTGACTCTTTGGCTTAATTGTGAGTCATAAGGCCCCCACTCGAGAGTGTGTACATGTGTGTGGTGTGTGTGTGTGTCTGTCTGTAGCGGAAGCAGAACTGTGAGCACAAAGCACGTATGTTTAAAAAAGTGTTTGGAATGCGTGTAGAAAGTTTTATGGTTTTTTTTTTTTTTTAATTCAAGGAGAGTGTATGTGAAGGAGAAAGTGTGTGTGTGTGTTTATGTGTGTGTGTGAGATGCAAGTGTTGAGCAGAATTAGTAATACGTGAGCAAGCAGCTTGTCAGAGATCCAGACAGTGGCGTAAGATAGAAAATGTTGTCGGAGGTGATTGTTTTCCTTTCAGAAGAGCGCGAAGGTCTTGGAGGAGCCCTTGACTTTCTCCTTCCTCCTTGTCTTGTTAAAAAGGGATTACAGTCCAATTAAGCCATTTAATCCCAAGGTAGAAATTCATGTTTAAAAACAAGATTTATGGCTTCTTAAGAAAAAAAAAAAACACCTGAGTGCAAGTTGAAGTTTGTCCTTTCAAGTTGCCACCTGCACGGTTCCAAAGCGTGTTTTCAGCTGAATACCCAACATGCAATTCTTCTTAATTACAATACTTTGTCTCCTCCCTGTGCTGCTTCGTCTTTCAAAGTACCCTTCAACCTAAGTGGCCACACGCTGTTAGAAATATCGTTTCTGGATTGTTACGACCGCTCCTTGGCTTATCAGTCTTCAGTGGCCAGGGTTAATAAGAACAGTATTAAGAGCTAATGCTTATCTGGTGCTTGGTGTGTGCCGGACATCATGATGCTAAGACTGTACATATGTCACGTTATTAGCTGCTCCATGTGTGAAAACATTCTGGGCTGGCTTCATGGGTTTGTGACATGTGTAGTCATATGAGTCCCCTTCACTTGGTCTAATGCTTTGTCCTTGCCATCTTGAAATACTTAATTATTTTTGAGCAATGGGATTTGCATTTCCATTTTGCACTGGGCTCCACAAATTACCTTTGTAGTCAGTCCTGAGAACACTCAATAACTCATAGTTTCTTTTTGTTTCTTTTGCTTTCTCTCCACATGATGCCTAATGTATGGTCAGAGAATAGGATAGTGAATCCCAAACTTGTGATGCTGAAATCCTTTCTGGAAAATGGGAGCCACCCTCTCTTTGGAGGGAAGTTCTCTAAGGGACAAGAACCATTGCATGACACTTAGCAAGGGGAAAGAAAAGTGTCTGTGAGAATTTGGGCAAGTTGTTTCACCCCTCTAAGCCTCAGTTTCCTCAACTGTAAAATGGGGATAACAGTAAGAACACCTAACTTGCAGGCTGTTCAAAGATGAAATGAAATCATGGATATAGAGCTCTGATGTGCAATACATACAACATTAGTTACTATTAGTGCACTGTGTGTATTAGCAAGTACTAAATATCAAGCATTGCTTGTGACACAATGCAGATCACTTGCCCACCTCCAAGGTGCCCTTATCCCTACCTGTCCTGAAGAGCTGGCAGGGATGTCTGCTTTCTCCACATGCTGGCTGATCACAGAGGGGTTGCTGGAGCTGATGAGCACCGGGGTGCTGATCTCCACCATATGGCGCCCTGAGGGAGAATGGACCATCCGGTTGAGAGTGTTCAAGGCTGTTGTGATGGAGAACTGCCCGGGCCCCTTCCTCCTGGACCCTGGGCCCCTGCGGAGGGTGGGTGTGTTACTTCTGGAGGATGAGGACACCAGGGACAGATGTTTTGCGCGGGGTGACTGACGGCCTTTGTTCCTCTCTAGGAGGTGTCTTGCAGTGAGGTTTGGCTGAAAAGACAAAAGGTCCGATGTCAAGTTAGTCTTCCTGATCTACCGTGAGCAGCTAAGTCCTACCCAGGCTTGTCTGAAGCCAGGTCAGATGCCACCTCCTCCTCGGTCATTGGTTCAGGTGACCATACCCTGGTCACCATCATAACAGCTTCCATCTTTTATCAATAATGTCCCAGTTACTTTGCTCTATTGATACATTTCTCAAACTTGCCTGCCAAGTAGACATTACTTTTTTACTGAGGTACAAAGAATATAAAAATAAGCCATTGATGCTCTTTCCTGGTTGGGAGTATTCTTCCTTTACCCATTTCTCCCAGCCATGTCCAGCCCTTTTCACCCAGTGGCCCTCTCCCCTTGCCCGTTGGTCACTGCAGAATCTCCCGCTGGGCTCCAGCAGCATCTGGGCTTCCCTGTCATTGCATTTTCCACTCCATGCCATAAGCATTTGCTTGCCTTGCCCCCACTGGTCTGCTAGCCAGCTGAGGGGCAGGAACCTTCTACACGTTACTCTCTCCTGTATCCCAGAGCGGATGCCCAGTGAGAGTTTGTGGAATAATGGGTGAAGGAAGTTGCTCAAATGCACACATTTGACAAGCCAGGATGTAGATGCATTCAGGACCCAGATCCCTTATGCTAAAACTGTCTTTTACTACCGTGTTTCCCCGAAAATAAGCCCTACCCATAAAATAAGCCTTAGCAGGATTTCTAAGCATTTATGCCGTATAAGCCCTACCCCGAAAATAAGCCCTAGTGATGGGCGTGGCTACGCAGCGTGTCTGCACAACCCATGCATTTCGTCACGAAGCGGGAAAGAAGACGAGCAGCCCTTCTCATCTGGCCCATGAGAGCTCTATGGCTCGACATGAGAGATCGGGGCCAATGGTTCTAAAGGAAATAGAGTCGCAAGAAATTCCGGGTGGAATTCGGGGTTTGGAGAGTTAGGATGATGTTCCAGAAGAACATGACTTAACTCTATTTGAATAAATGTAGATTATTGTACAGTGCTTAAAAAAATAACACATCCCCTGAAAATAAGCCCGAGGGTGTCTCCTTGAGGAAAAATAAATATAAGACCCTGTCTTATTTTCGGGGAAACACGGTACTTCCTTTAAATACTTTCATCTCATCACCATTCTTCCTTGTTTTAGACCTCTTAGTCAGTGATGTGCCAGTAAATTAGGAAAGAGAAAGAAAGGAAGGACAGAGGGAGGGAGGGAAGGAAGGAAGGGAAAGAGAAATAAAGAAGAGAGAGAGAGAAAGAAAGAAAGAAAGACTGATTTGTAGAGTTTACTAATCTACCAATGGTTTACCAACTGGCTAGCAAAATTCTTGAAAATACAACAACCAGCTGTTGCCATGTAGCTCCAGCCAGCTAGAGCACAACCCTGTGTTACTGTCCTTCTTCCCCACTGAAATTCCCACGAGAAATAGCTTCCGAGTGCCCTACTCACTGAGGGCCCCTGTGGGTTCATTTCCTTTAGAAATCTGAAATATGTTGATGAAGCAAGGATTTGTGTGAATAACCCTACCATTTCAGGACGACTACTTAAATTTCGTTATTATAATTGTCACGTGTTGCCCTCTAGAACCACACGTCTCAGTCTGATTTAGAAATTCAACTCTAGAGGTAAAAGGGAAGTTGCCCACTTAAGAACTTTTACTGACAATGTCCAGAGGATTAAAATAGCTGAGATAGAAAAATTTAAAGATGTAATTCTTGGGCTGGGCCTGGTGGCTCACGTCTGTCATTCTAGCACTCTGGGAGGCCGAGGCGGGCGGATTGTTCAAGGTCAGGAGTTCAAAACCAGCCTGAGCAAGAGCGAGACCCTGTTCTCAAAATAGAAAGAGAAATTAATGGCCAACTAATATATATATAGAAAAAATGAGCCAGGCATGGTGGTGCATGCCTGTAGTCCCAGCTACTTGGGAGGCTGAGGCAGGAGGATTGCTTAAGCCCAGGAGTTTGAGGTTGCTGTGAGCTAGGCTGACGCCACGGCATCACTCTAGCCTGGGCAACAAAGCGAGACTGTCTCAAAAAAAAATAAATAAAGATGTAATTCTTGCCTCAAGAAGCTTGTCATATTGTGAAAACCTTATCAAGTAGGGGAGCAGGCATTGTTCCGTCCACTTTAAAGATGAGAAATCTGAGACCAGGACAGGGTGACTTATAAATGACAGAGCCAGTTAAACAAGAAAATATCAGGTAGTAGTAAGTGCTGAGATGTGATGCAGAGTGACGAGGGGAGTAGCTACCTTAGATTTGGGGGGGAGGCAAGGAGACCCGCTGAGAAGGCAGCATTTATGCTGAGACAACAAATGACAAGAAGGAGCTAGCCACATGACAATGGGAGCAAGAACATGCCAGGCAGCGGGATTACAAACTAGTAGGAAAGTTCTAAAGAGGGAAAGAACTCAGCCTGTTTGAGAAAAAGGCAGAAGAAAGAAACCGAGAAGGCTGGAACAGAGCAGGTGAGGAGCAGGTGTTCAAAGGGGAGGTCACAGACAGGTGGGGCCAGACCTCCAAGGAACCAGGGGTGGGGTGTCTGTTTTATTCTAAATATAATAGGAAGCCTTTGTCGAGATTTAGGTAGAGGACTGATGTGATCTGAATTATGCTTTTGAAAGTTCCTGTTGCAGTTTGGCAATTTCTTACAAAGTCAAGCCCATGCTTAGCATCGGACCCAGCAATCCCATTCCTAGGTAATTACCCAAGAGGAATGAAAACTCACGTTCCCTCAGACACTGGGATGCACATGTTTATAGCAGCTTTGTACATAGTTGCCAACAACTAGAAACAACCCTAACATCTTTCAACTGGTGAATGAATAAACAAACTCTTCTATATCCATACAATGAAATACTACTCAACAATAAAAAGGGATGAACTACTGATATGCAAAACAACATGGATAATCTCAAATGCATTCTGCAAAATGAAAGAAGCCAGACTCAGAAAGCTACACTTTGTGTGATTCCATTTATATGACATTCTGGGAAAAGAAAACCATAGGAGCAGAAAACAAGATTGGTGGTTGCCAGGGCTTGGGAGTCAGGGAAGGGATCAACTACAAAGAGGGAGCATGAGGGATTTGGGGGGAAAGTGTTGGGACTATTCCATATCTTGATCGTGGTGTGGTTATACAATTGTACGGATTTATCAAAATTTATGGAACTGAACACCAAAAGGAGTAAAGTTTACTGTACGTAAATAAACAAATAAAAAGCTCCTTCTGGTGCCAGAATAAAAAGTTATTCTGGTGCCAGAATAAAAAGCAATTCTAAGTGCCAGAATAGCACGTAGTAGGGAGACCAATGAGGAAGTTATTGAAATTGTTTAGGCAGACTCTGATGGCAGCCTGGCCCAGGAACAATGCCTTATGCATCCCAGGGAACATTTTCATCCATCGTTCACTCAATAAAAGGATAATGTACACTCTTTGAATCGAACGAGTAAAGCTCTTTATATCGCCATTCACGGCTTTAATGAAATAAATTAATTTTTTCTGCTTTGACCTAATTGTTCGGTCCCCACGTGAGCGCCACTGCCGGCTTTTCCAACGTCAACGTTGACAAAGAGCCCCGCGAAACTCTGTATCTTCCCTGTCCTCTGCCAACATGATTAATAGCTCTGTGGGAAAAGAATCGCAGGTCTCTTAGATTTGCACCCACTCGCTTGAAACAATATCTTTGAGGTTCACTGGGCTGAGCAAAGTTCATATAAGCCAGGCAGGCCCCATTGGAGAAGTCCTAACAAGAATGGGCATAAATTCAGCCTTTCCTTTACCACCTTTTTTTAATGCAGGTACAATTCAATAAATCAAATGATGCATTAACAAGAAAAATCCCGTTCATGCCCAAAACACCCCACGTCACCCTCGTAAGGAGGCCTTCCTTCCTTCCAATTACTTTGCATGGCACTGGTAATTAAAACTTATTTAAAGAGTTCTCAGCAAGTGCTAGTCTTAATGAAATGACTGAAGTCAAAATTTAAGTAGTGCTTTAAAAAGCTCAATTTAGATTTCAAGTAATTTTTGAGAACCGGTTTCCCAGATTAGAACCACCACTTGATTATCTTTTTCCCCTCCTAGCAATTAGGAGAACAAATGAAGCAATGGCTAGTTTAATGATAATCTTGAGGGTTCTTGTAATCATTAATTTTAGAGGTGAAGTGATAGGGAGAGTATCCAAATGAATAATCATTAAATGTAGAAGTTTTTGGGGAGAAGGGTTTCAGAAATGGGTAATAATAGGAGTGGTGCCTTCCCCCCATCCCCCAGAGCTATGAAGAAGCATCTCAAAAAATAATTCAGGAGACCATGCATAAATTTCTGCAAAAATGTAAGTACCTCCTATGTGTCCATTTAGGTGCTAATTGCAGCTGATCTCTGTCCTTGGAGAGTCAACCCTTGTCTCCCAATCATTGCAATTGTTCCTCGGCAAAGCTTGCTTGAACCAGCAAAGAGCTCCACACTGACCTAGGTACACAAATCAGAAAGTGGGGCTGTCCTTGATACTTCCTCTCCCCTATCCTGTCAATCTCCTCACTTCTGTCAATCTCCTAGTACTATGGATTCTACCTCCTGAAAGGTCTTTGAATCTACTTGTTTCCAATCTACTGGTCTAAGCCACAACCGTCTCCTAACTGGGCAACGCAGTAGCCTCCTAACTCATCTTTCTGTTTTCTCCTCCCTCCTCTTCAAATCATGCTTCCCTCTGTAGCCAGAGCAGCCTTTAAAAGGAATTCCAAATCTGACCCTGAAAACCTTTCAGTGGCTTCTATCCGCCTTTGCATCAACTCTAAACTCCCTATAATATGGCAGAGACAATGACACTCACCAAATATTCCACCTGTGCCCTTATACTTGAAGTCAGGTGGGGTTCTATGACTGGTCTAGGCCAATGGGGTGTGAGTGGGAGTGACTGACAATTGTCACTTCTGAGCTAAGGCGTTTATTCACTGATACACAACTCACTCTTCTCCACTCTTCTCCTACTGTGGAAACCAGGAAATCCACAGGTTCCAGACTGTGCAGCTACAAGGTGGCCCCGCCTGATTAGTCTGGGTGCCTGAGGGACTAGGTGAGCAGAGTCTCCCATCATCCTCTGCTGATCATGCAATGTGGGCGAGAAGTAACCTTTTCTTTGTTAAGTCACTGAGACTTTGGTGCTGCTTATTACTGCACAACCGAGCCCACTGTGACTACACAGGACAGTTTACAAAGCCCTCTGTGATCTGTCATCCATTTACTTGCCTGCCTTCATTTTTTTGTTACTCTCTGAGCTCCAGCTCTGACATCCTTTTTTTTTTTTTTTTTTTTTTTTTTTTTTGAGACAGAGTCTCACTCCGTTGCCTGGGCTAGAGTGCTGTGGTGTCAGCTAGCTCACAGCAACCCAAACTCCGAAGCAATCCTTCTGCCTCAGCCTCCGGAGTAGCTGGGACTACAGGCATGCGCCACCATGCCTGGCTAATTTTTTTTCTATATATTTTTAGTTGGCCAATGAATTTCTTTCTATTTTTAGTAGAGATGGGGTCTCGCTCTTGCTCAGGCTGGTTTCGAACTCCTGACCTTGAGCAATCCTTCCGCCCTGGCCTCCCAGAGTGCTAGGATTACAGGCGTGAGCCACTGCGCCCGGTTCCTGGTATTCTTTTGGTCCCTTCGATACACCACACGTCCTCATCTTGCAGGACTTTTGCACGTGCTGCCTCCATTACCTAAAAGGCTCTTCCTTCCATACTTACCTATCTAACTCTAATCACCTGTCAGATCTTGGCATAAGTGGCATCTGCCTACCCCACTGCCCAGGTGGGTCTACTTCAGTCTTTGCATCCTTCATCATGTTGTGACTATAGAAATACTGTCTGACCTTACAGTTTCTGAGAGTAGGGGCTCACATCTGTTTTGTGTCTTTAGAACTTAGCATAGGACCTGGCATAGCATGCACTCAATGAAAAATTATTAATAGTCGAATGATTAAATATATATTTAGGATAGGATCACACTGAATGGTTTGCTTTCTAAATTTTTGCCTAGTAGTTCTGACTACCTTCCAAATCATTTTTCATTCATTCACTTGTTGAGCTTTTTTTTTCTTTTTTTAACAGAGTACCTGTGCTGTGTTAGGCTAGCCCATGAAGCATGATCAACACACCCATCAGGTGTTCACAGAGGAAGGGGACCACTAAGGTTTCAACCAGTAGCTGAAATTTTACGGATAAAGGGGGTTGCAAGCTGAGCCTTGTAAAATGAATGAAATTTGACAGGTAAAGAGAATTGGGTGGGTATACCAAGAAGGAGTCCCAGCAAGAGAAAAAGCATTAGGAACGAGACTATTGTGTAGTAGAGACAGTAAGATGACCTGCCAGCCCTTCTGGACCCTTCCTTCAACCATTCATTGCTTCAATACTGACTGAATAGAGGGTGGACAGAGGAGCTTGCTGTTAATAACTACAGTCACCCTACTCAGCTATCATATGGTAAATTTTATGTTATGTGTTTTTTATCACAATAAAGAAATTAGTTGCACTATATGAAGCCAGGGAACCTTGAAAGCTATGCAAGGCTCTGAGTACACCATTCATCTCAGAACCTGCTTTAGCTCTTGGGATAGATGCAATGGTCCCTTTCCGTAATATCAAATATTAATACTTCCTTAATTATGCCTCTGTTCTGCTTTCACCCCACCGCCTTTTACTTCTTTCATGGCTCTCCACTGCCCATTTTTATTGGACTCGCTTTATGTGTGTACCCAATAAATGCAGTTAAACAAGGAAAACTCTCTTTTAAATTTTTAATGACTTGCTCCAGGCTAGGGTGAGGCTCATGGCTAGTGAGGGTAGGGACTATGAGTTACATTATCAGACTGAAGAAATAGATGGATAGCCTAGCACCGTTTGCTTTCATTCTTTTTTTTTTTTTGTGTAAGTAGCTTAAAAAAAAAAACCAGCAGTAATAAATATATGTTCATTTCAGAAGATTTAGAAAATACAAATTGGCAGAAGAAAATGAAAATCATCTGGAATCTCACCATCTTGTGATCACTACTGTTAATATTTTGGTACATATCCTTCTAGTCCTGTATCCATTTATACGTACAATATAAATAAAGCTAGCTTCATCTGATTGAACTTATTTTTTTTTTTTTATTGTGGTAAAAAACACATAGCATAAAATTTACCATATGAGAGAAGAGTAGAATCACTATGGTTAATAAAAATGTACTGTATATTTCAAATTGGCTAGAAGAGAGAACTTGAAATGTTTCCAACACATAGAAATGATAACTATTCAAGGTGATGGAAATATCCTGACCTGATCATTACACATTCTATGCACGTAACACAATATCGTATGTACCCCATAAATATGTAAAATATTACATGTCAATAAAACTGAAACATTAAAAAGATTACCATCTTAATCATTTTTTTATGTTATATACTTTCCCCAAACCCATCTTAACCATTTTTAAATATACAGTTCAGTAGCACTAAATATATTCACACTGTTATGAAACAGATCTCCAGAACTTTTTTATCCTGCAAATCTGGAACTGTATCCTCATTAACTGATTTATTTACTTAACAATAAATCATACATCTTTCCCTAATATCAAATACTTTATCATATTAAATATTATTCTTCAACATAATTTTTTTTTTTTTTTTTTTTTGAGACAGAGTCTCACTTTGTTGCCCAGGCTAGAGTGAGTGCCGTGGCATCAGCCTAGCTCACAACAACGTCAAACTCCTGGGCTCAAGCGATCCTACTGCCTCAGCCTCCCGAGTAGCTGGGACTACAGGCATGCGCCACCATGCCTGACTAATTTTTTCTATATATGTTAGTTGGCCAATTAATTTCTTTCTGTTTATAGTAGAGACGGGGATCTCGCTCTTGCTCAGGCTGGTTTCAAACTCCTGACCTTGAGTGATCCTCCCGCCTCGGCCTCCCAGAGTGCTAGGATTATAGGCGTGAGCCACCTCGCCTGGCCTTCCAACATAATTTTTTTTATTTTTATTGTGCCTCAGTTACTTTCTTTTTTTTTTTTTATTTTAGCGTATTATGGAGGTACATGTGTTAAGGTTACATATATTGCCCATGCCCCCCTCCCCCCTCGAGTAAGAGCTTCAAGTGTGTCCACCCTCCAAACGTTGCACCTTTTACTCGTTGTGGTTGTATATACCCCTCCCCTCCAACATAATTTTTAATAGGTATATATTTTCCCATTACTACAACTTTTAAAAACGAAATCCTTATTATTGGATATTTAGATTATTACTAGTTTTTCTTCATTATACACAACCACCGTCATGCTATGGGAACATTTTTGCACATTTTGTACATATATCTTTGCATACATATTTAAATATTTCCTTACAATAAACTCTCGGATGTGGAATGGCTGACTCAAAGGAGGTGCACATTTCTAGGGTTTGTGATCTGAGTTCATTGCAGTTTGGATATGAGAGATTTTGCCAGTTTGCACTCGCATCGGCAGAATGGAAAATGCCCATATTCCCACACTCTTGCCAGAATTGGGTATTATGAACTGACATCTTTTCTTTAGAGATTTTAGTCAGTACATCACCGTGGCACGTGCATATTGCTGAGTGGGCGTGAATGAGCTGCATACTTGATACTCACGTACCTCTACAAACAGGATGGGGAAGATGCCTACTTTATCTCCTAACTTGCCTTCTGCCCAGTTCTCATCCACTCGGCTGAGCACAGTGATGATGTCGTCCTGAAAGACAAAGGCTCGTGGTCAGCATTTACTCTCAGCTCTCAGGTGGTAAAAGCTTTCAGTGGAGATCAGTTTGGAGTCCCAGATGCTATAAGGTGCGAGGAATGTAGCTCATGCATGATTTATTTAGGAAATCTCCCTGCTAAAATGAACTTTCTCCATGAAGGGTAGTATTTGGGTCACCAAGACCATAAGGGGAAAATAGAAATAATTTGGAGGATCAATGGAATCCGATAGGAAAACTTGGAAACGTTACTAATTTTTAATCGTTGGCAGGGTCCAAGCTTTTTATCTAAATTAATCTGACGGGGAAATCAAGATGGAAGCCATGGGGAGACACAACTTTGGCTTAGCAAAAAGAATGAATTTTATTCTCATTTTGAAGACTTTTTTTTTTTTTTTTTTTTTTTGAGACAGAGTCTCACTTTGTTGTCCAGGCTAGAGTGAGTGCCGTGGCGTCAGCCTAGCTCACAGCAACCTCAAACTCCTGGGCTTGAGTGATTCTTCTGCCTCAGCCTCCCGAGTAGCTGGGACTACAGGCATGCGCCACCATGCCCGGCTAATTTTTTATATATATATATCAGTTGGCCAATTAATTTCTTTCTATTTATAGTAGAGACGGGGTCTCGCTCTTGCTCAGGCTGGTTTTGAACTCCTGACCTTGAGCAATCCGCCCGCCTCGGCCTCCCAAGAGCTAGGATTACAGGCGTGAGCCACAGATTTTGAAGACTTTTTAGAGCGTATTCACTTTTTAATGTAGCAAACATAAAGCAGCTTTTGATTCACATTTTTCTTATTGCAAAAGGTTATATGTAAATTTGTAGAAATGTTAAAAAACACAGATAAGCAAAACAAGGACAAAATTCTACTGTAATATAGATACAACCACTATTAACAGCTTAACATACTTTTTCCCCATTCTTTTCTATCAAGATAGAAACATTTATACACATAAACATATGTATACATGTTTATACATATATATGCTTATGTGTATAAAAACAGATTTTTATAAATTGTCAAAAACATACACATGTACAAACAATAAAGTGCATAAATCTTAGATGTAAAGCTTAAGGAATATTTATATTTGACTATATCCATAAAACTCCCATCCAGATGAAGATCTAGAACATTTCCAGCACCCAGAAGTTCCATTTCCCACAACCTAGCAAGAGGTAACCACTATTCTGACTTCTAGCACTATACATTCATTTTGCCTATTTTTGTACTTCATACATCTGAAGTCATACAGAACATACTGATTTTTTTTTTTTACTTAACACCATGTCAGGAACATGGTGTTAAGTTTCCATGTCCATACTTGCTCATCAATCCAAACCTGTATATTCATCCACTAAAGACCTTCTGATTGGGCTGGGTGAGGTGGCTCATGCCTGTACTCCTAGCACTTTGGGAGGCTGAAGCAGAAAGATTGCTTGAGGCCAGGAGTTATGGACTAGCCTAAGCAAGATTGAGACTCCATCTCTACAAAAAAAATAGAAAAATTAGCTGGGTTTGGTGGAATGCACCCGTAGGCCCAGCTACTCAGGAGGTTGAGGCAGGAAATCGGATTGCTTGAGCCCAGGAGTTTAAGGTTGCAGTGAGCTATGATGACACCACTGCACCCTAGCCTGGGTGACAGGCTCAAAAAAAAAAAAAAAAAAAAGAAAAGATTTTCTGATCTCTCTGACCTATTCCATGTGCCTCAGTAATTTGGATTAATCCAAATCTAAATTCATCATGCGTTGTATCTTTTCTTAGCTTCCTCTTAATTCCTCTTAATTACATTCGCAATTACACATTTATAGGTTTATACTTACACATTTATAGGTTATTACAAATTCACAAGTACATGTTTATAGGCCGTTATTTCTTTAATGACTGTCCACCCTATGAGACCACAAGCTCCACGTGCACAGGGTCTCTGTGTGTTTTGTTTATCTCTGTTGTTCCCAGCACCTAACACAGTGGTTCCCCTTTAGTAGTCATCCAATAAATACTTCTTGAATGCATGCATGCGTGAACCAATACATGAACGTTTCAATAAATTGTACAATTTACCGAGATAGAAAGCACCAGGAAAAGGGCAGTTTTGGGAGGGAAGATCTTGAGTTTAATTTGGACATGTTCAGTTTAGGAAGGCCATGAGATTTCCTAGCGAGGTCCTAGCATTCTACAGCCTTCTAGAATGGGTCAAACCAGAAACCTCTCTTCTGATTTCTTTGTCACAATTTTTCATTTATGAGTGTGTTTCTTCTTCACAGACTGCCAGCTCCGTGAAGGTAAGGACAATGACTCATCACTTTGTCCCCAGCAGCCAGCTTGGCACATGGATGGGCACAAGGGACGAATGACCGTGGGGAGTAAGTGTCCCAGTTTGCAAATTCCCAGAGAGGGTCAGAGAAGCAGATAATGCTTCCTGCTTGCTTATGTCTTCCTCCTGCTACATCCCCAGAGCTCAGTGTCTAAGGCCTGGCACAAAGTAAATACTCAATAAATGTTTGTGGAATTGACTCGACCTTCCTTTAACGGCAGTCTGAGTCTAGACTTTGCTGTTCGGGCTATAGAATAACCTTCCTCAGGAAGGTCACTCAGACAGTGAGGTTATCTGCTGTGGGGAAAGCTGAAGTAAATGTCATTTTTGATAGTGGTAGCATAAAAACATTTTACAAAACAAAGACCTATGGCAGCAGTGCCACTTTTTGTACTTGGAGCTGGTCTACTTATAAGGCAAAGAATGAAAATGGCTCCAAACTTTGGTTTCTATGAGAGAATTTGAATGTTTAAGGAATAACAAATCCTGAATGCAGAGAGTTAAAGTAGCCTAGACTTCAGGGGACTTGTCATTACTTACGAATGGTGAAGACCATTCGATGGAAAAGAAAGGCAGAAAATATCGTAGGGTAATTGATGTGTTTGGAAAATATACCTTGTAAGAGGTTATTTTTGCATAGACGTATGATTATATTATTGTATATGTTTGGAGTGTTTTGAATGCTACGTTTAAAACAAAATAGAATGGTGTAAAGGAGTAGAATTAGGTGGCCGTAAGTTGGTCAGCAAGAATGCCATTACGCATAAATGACAAGGAGGCGGCAGCTGCAGTTTTGCATAGCACGTTATCAAACTGTTTGTGATTTTCTGCCCACATATCTGTTACTCCCATTACTGTGCTAGGACAGCAGGGACTGTGACTTGCTCACGCTCTGTCCCCAGGACCTGCAAAGAATAAGGGCTCAAAAGTGTGTGTAGGCCGGGCGCTGTGGCTCACGCCTGTAATCCTAGCTCTTGGGAGGCCGAGGTGGGCGGATTGCTCAAGGTCAGGAGTTCAAAACCAGCCTGAGCAAGAGCAAGACCCCGTCTCTACTATAAATAGAAAGAAATTAATTGGCCAACTAATATATATAAAAAATTAGCCGGTCATGGTGGCGCATGCC